CCTAATTAAACCCTTAAGCTAGACACCACTGCACAGCCTCCCGAAGCGCCAATACCTCAGCAACTACAAGATCATCAATAATCGGGAACTGGACCCCTTTAGCCATCAGGACCCCACCCTATGAGCTAAGCACAACCATGCCACCTGCAGAATGTGAGCCCGTTCTTGTCGCCCCATCCCACCTACAAACCAACCCAGAAACCACCTGGGGTACCGGTAGGCGCTGCGAGGCAGCCACAGCCAAACCAGGGGAAGGGTTTCCAGGCAATCGCGTCCATTCTTCATATTGCTGATGAAACTGGCGCATGAGAGGCAAGAAACCAAATTGCTTTCCCTCAAATACTACCCAATTGCGGGACTTCCAAATCCACCAGAGGACAACAATCACAACCATGAACAGAGAAGGTTGATGAATAAGGGACATTAGCCGCTTGAGAAAAAGGGGAAAAGTCTGCCTTGGAAGCCCCTCACCCAGATACTCCAGCCCGGAATAATCCCACATAGCCCGAGCAACTGGGCAATAAAGGAATAAATGCTCCAAGGATTCCAATTCATCCCAGCAAACCGGGCATCGTGGAAGCACCGACACCTTCTTCTCAACAAGGGCCTCCATAGTAAGTAGGATGCAGTTAAAGATCTTCCAGGAAAAAATCTTCAGCTTAGGCGGAATATTAGCCTCCCACAACCAGATCCAACTACTCTTATCCATCCAGCTAACCATATCACGCCAGCGGCCCAAGCGTTTATCATGTGAGACCGCAAGGTGATAGGCAGACTTAACTGTGAAAATCCAATCCGTTGTGGCATGCCATATCAGTTTATCCTCCACTGCCTAACAAGGGAGGGGGATAGCTCGAATAGCCCTACAAGTAGCCGGGTCAAACCATTGGTGTAAGCTATCCATACACCACCTACCCCCTCCCTGACACATGACCTCCGCCAACACCCGAGGATTATAAGCAGGAAGTTCGGGGGTGCAACCCAGGTATCCAGTTAGACTGCAAGAGAGGAGCAGTTTGCCCATTCCCAATTTGCCAGCGCAAACCAGCTACAAGAAGCTAACGCCCATAGAGGATACTCGTCCATCCCCACGAGGGCCTAGAGCGCGCCTTGGCCTCAAGGAACGTCCCTCTCGAGAAGTATTTCCCATTATACACCTGCGCTAAGAGGGATTGGGGATCCGTCAGAATACGCCATCCAATTTTTGCAAGGAGAGCCTGATTAAACTGCTCAAACCGTCGAAACCCCATTCCACCCTCATGTTTGCTACGACAGAGATTTCTCCAAGACATCCAATGGATCTTAGGCTGTCCCTCAGACATCCCCCACCAAAAGAGGGCCACATATTTATCCAGAATCCTACAAAGGGACAGGGGAAGCTTAAAACAGGACAACACATGTAACGGCAGCGCCATTGCAACTGCCTTGATCAATGTTTCCTTAGCCGCCCAGGATAGCGTTTGCTGCTTCCACCCCTGCAGTCTCTCCAACAGTTTGTCCTCTAAGTATCGGAAAGTTGCCATCTTGGATCGAGCAATTAGCGTTGGCAACTCCAAATACTTATCATGCACCCCCACCTCCCCTACTCCTAAAACCTTGGCCAAGAATTCCTGGTCTGGCATTGCAATATTTTTGCTAAAACATATTGCAGAGTTAGCCAGATTCACTTTTTGCCCACTTAACTCCTCGTACTCATTCAAGACCTCAATCAGGTTTTCACATTCCTGGAGGGAACCTCGCAGGAACAAGTACGAGTCATCTGCAAAGAACAGATGCAAAATCCGGGGGGCACGAGGAGCGAATTTCACACCTTCTAATCTTTTCTCCGAAATTGCCTTTCGAAGGAGCGATGCAAACCCCTCTATGCAAATGACAAATAGTAGAGGGGAGAGAGGATCACCCTGCCTAAGTCCCCTAGAAGGAGCAAAGAACCCTGCTGGGGTGCCATTCATAAGGACTGGGAATGAGGATGGTCACAAACACTCCTGAATCCATCCTCTCCAGGTAGAATTAAACCCCATCTTTCCCAAAACCGCTAGCAGAAACGACCATTCAACTCTGTCATGGGCCTTTTCCATTTCAACCTCCAGAGCCATAAACCCTTTATTACCACGATTTTTTATTTTCGATTAGTGCATCAATTCATGCCCCAGGAGCATATTTTCCACAATCTGCCTCTCACGAATAAAGGCATTTTGACCATCCGAAATAATGACTGGTAAAATGGCAGCAAGCCGAGCAACCATGATCTTTGAAATAATTTTATATATAAACTGGAAAAGGCTGATGGGCCGCATTTGCTTCATTGTTTCCACATTCTCCACTTTAGGGATCAAGGTTAACCACGTATGATTAAAGTTGCGAAGCATCTTACTTGTCGCAAAGAAAGAAACAACCGCGTCAATCACCGAGCTACCAACAATATCCCAGAAAGTCTTAAAGAATTTTCCAGTGAATCCGTCAGACCCAGGTGCCAGTTTGGACCCCATTGCGAATACCGTGCGGCGAACTTCATCCGGAGAAACAGGATCAGTTAGGATGGCATTCATCTCCGGAGTCACAGATCTGTTGATTGGGAGTGTCGCCACCCTTGAAGCCATGTTCGGAACTTGGTTTCCAGAGGTGAACAAATGCTGATAAAAAGCGCCAGCAATGTCGGCTTTACCATACTCTTCCGTTACCCAATCACCTGTCTCCGTACGGAGTCCGTGTACAAAATTCCTTTTTCAACGAGTTCGCGTGACTGTGCGAAAATTTGAGGTGTTCTTATCCCATCTTTTCAGCCATCGGACCCTGGACTTCTGCTGCCAGTACAATTCCTCCGCCTCCCATTGCCTACTAAGTTCAGTCTCAAGGGTTCGAACTTCATCCCAGTTAATCGGATGAATGGTCTTTATCCGCTCAATTTCGGTTTGGAGAGTTCGAATGTTTCGCAGGGAGTTTGTCGTCCCCGCCCTACTCCAATCATATAAAAGATGTCGAAGTTTCTTCAACCGTTCCCAGAGTTGGTACATCGGGGTACCGTGGAAGGATTCACTCCAGACATAAGTCACCATCGCTTTAACCTCTGGATTATCAGCCCATTGGGCATCAAATCTGAACAGGGTTCAACTAGTTCTTATGTAAGGTTTATCCGCTAAGAGCAACGCACGGTGATCCGAGCCATGATCCGTGAAATGTTTAACAATGGTATCAGGAAATCGTTCAATCCACTCCGGAGAGCACAAAGCTTGGTCCAGCCATTCCCGAATACAGGCAGGCCCCATACGTTTATTTGTCCAAGTGAATAGGTCACCTTGGTGCCCACGATCATAGAGGCCAAGGTTCTGAACAAAGTTACGCAAGGCAACGGATTGGGAAGCATTCCACGGGTTGCCGCCATCCTTTTCGTGGGCATGTAATGTGACATTGAAGTCCCCGAGTACCACGTATGGCAATTGGTCATCGTCACAAATCTCACAAAGTTGAGCAACTAGTTCGAAAAGATTAGCTCGACAGCTGATGTAAACACAAAACACGATGTACTGAGAATCGACTTCATTAATTTGAACGCCAATACAAAAATTTGAATGATAAAACACCAAAGCATTAACTTCGGGGGACCAAGCTACTACTAACCCACCCGATGCATTAACAACATCAACAAAGAAACAATGATCAACAGAAAACCCAACCCCCTAATACGGCGATGGACAACACGCCGGTTGATAGCGTCGTATTTGCACATGTTTGCACCCTTGTTTCTTAACCATTTTGGCTCAAACTTGTGGTGTCTTCGCCTATTTTACGCTAGGTTGTGTTCATTTGTCACATTTCAGGTCTTAGTATGTAAATTGAAGCAAAGGCACAAGTTTCAAGTCAATCGGAATCCATTTGGCAATTCGGGAGAATAAACACGGGCATGACCTGAGAAATAATGGAATTATACCTCATATTATGGACAAATAAACATGGAATTTTGTCATGAAAAGAAAGAGGACAAGACTACGAGCGTCTGGGATCAAACGACGACTGATTCAGAGTCCGGACGAGGGAGAAACGAAGCATTAAACAGGAGCGGAGGAAGAAATACGGGCATCCCTTGCCCAATTACGGGCGTAATTGCCTGTGCCCTACCCGTAAATGCAATGTCGAGCCAAATTCTTGAGAATTCCTGTCGCAGAGCAAATTACGGGCAAGAGTCAAAGCAACTATAGTTGTAATTCCACAAATACTGGCAGTAATTGGGTAATTACAACCGTATTTCCTCTCATCATTGTTAAGTGAAACGCGCGTTTTGGGTGAATTACGGGCAGACCTTTTTTACGACCGTAATTCAGCCCGTATTTCGCCCAGAATTGGGTTTTTGAGGCAGATTCGAGCCAAAGGAGAGGGAGTCGACTTTTTGGAGCAAAAACAGAGTTTTAGAGAGAGAAAGTGGGAAGAACAAACCCTAGGAGCTATTTGGAGTGGATTTCTCACCATTGAAGCCCAGATTGCATCCCCAGGAGTGAAGATTGACATCCCAGAGCAGATTTTCCTCATCTTTATGAGTATGACTACTTTGATTTCTATTTTCCTCTCTCTCTCTATGGAGTAGAACTTTCTCTCACTTGGGTATGCAGAACCCTAATTCCATGTGTTAGGGATCTTGATTGTAATGACTTGGGATTGTTATACTGATTGATTTTAATCGATTGATGCATGATTTATTGAGTCAATTGAAGTCTGATCATCTTTTCTTGATTTCTGCTGCAACCTAAGATAGATAGAATCTGATTAGGTTGTTAGAGCTTCATCAATCGGTAGTGGTAGATTGATTATACGAGAGTTAATCGATTTACTGCTTTGCACTGGAATCCAATTCCAGTAGTGGAGTTCTGCGTTTATAGCCTCAGCTTTCTATCCCGGTGAAGACTAGTCGTCTGCCGGGTAGTTGGACTGAGAGGGCTTGGTCAGCTTAAGAGATTTCAAGCTACTGTCGGATCTTCCACAGTTTAATCAACAGTTAATCTACCCAGGGTAATTACAACTGTGACCTAACTAAGGAGCTAGGGGGACTCATTCCCGAGTGACTCTTCCCTTGCTTTAGAAAACCAAACCATTTCCTGCTTTCTCGCTACTTTTAGTTAAAATCACAATCACTCGACTTAGTTTGCTAGATAATAAATATTCACGGAGTAGGCAGTAGATCTAGACCCCGGGTTGACAAATAGAGCTTGCCTGTTACTGCATTTTCGGACTGCGATTACACTTGGTCGCAGTTTGGTGTTGTGTTTTAGCGTGTCGAGTTTTTGGCGCCGTTGCCGAGGACCCTCTAGGTTATTGGGGAAACGTGAAAGTTTGTTACTCTAGCTTTTTCTTTACTGCATTTTCTCTCTTCCACCTGTGTGCCTTCACGGGTTACTTTTGCTGATTGTGTGCAGGTAGTGCATGACCCGTAGCCAGTCGGGAGTTTTACTACCATTAGAACAAGAGCTTGAACGGACCTGTAGGAACTTTAAGCGGGCTCTAAAGGCGCGACTAGCTGCGGAGGAGGCTCTACACAGCTGCAAATCACCGAGGAAGAAGAGATGGATGACCCACACGACCATGATGTGGTCCTTCCCGAGGAGCAGACCATGGGATATTACTGGACCGCCAAAGCCGCGGACATGAGGTCGCCCATTCAGCACCCTCATGTACCAGCGAATAACTTTGAGGTGAGCACCTCTGTCATCACCATGCTGCGTGGTTCGGTGGTATTCAGTGGCAAGGAGGGGGAGTGCCCCCGATCAAACCTGAGGCGATTCCACGAGCTCATCGATGGGTTCAAGATCAATGGGGTCCCAGCCGATGCAATCCAGCTGAGGTACTTCCCATTTACTCTGGAGGGGCAAGCCAAGGAGTGGCTAGACACTCGACCTCCAGGCTCGATCACCACATTCGCCAACCTGGCGGACAAGTTCCTCACTCGCTACCATCCTCCGTCCAAGATGGCGGACTTGCAGAAGCAAATTACCCACTTTGTTCAAGACGAAGATGAGACCATTCGGGATTCTTGGGAGAGATACACCAGTCTCTTCCTCAAGTGTCACAACCATGGTTTTACCGACGCCTTCAAGGTGGGCACCTTCTACCATGCCCTCTTCCCAGAAGACAAGCAGCTGATTGACTCGGTTTGCGGCGGGAATATGCTCACCAAAACACCACCACAGCTAAATCCACTTTTTGAAGAGATGGCAGAGCAGGGCTGACTCGCTATGACACAACTCCTAACAATGGCCAAGTGGAATCAATGAAAGGGACTCCACTATAGTGGCTCAAGTAATAAATATCGAATCCACGGGTCTCTAGAGTTACTATTACTCAGCTTTAGTTCATTATCTAGCAAACCATATTAAGATGGAAGAACTAAAACTACTCTAACAAACTACAGTTAAAGCTAATCTAATTACCGGTTGGGAACTCACTTAGGTATGATTCCCCCTAGCCACTAGCCAGATTAATGGTTGATGATTTCTAACTTGTTTCACTTTCATTCACAATGCGGAGAATCCTTGACTAGACCTTGAGTCTCGACTAAAGGAACAAGGCCCTCTTGAGTCAATTGCCTAGAGGGACGTATCCTTCTCTAGAACAACCGATCAAGGCGTTTTGAACTAGATTCCCTCTATCGAATGAGGTTCTCAATGGATACAAAGCATTGAATCAACCCACGACTAAAGAAATAGATCCAACACTATCGATCTATGGTGCTCTATTGACCTAATCAAGTATTCGCTCTCATAGGATCAAAGCAGAATCAATAATCTCGACTAAAGCATAATTGAATCATGAAAACATGCATAAATTGAATATGAACTCAAGATTATCAAGTAGGAGTACTCATACAATCATCCAATCAAACAAACATAGCTAGGGTTCCTCAAAACCTAAGTGAAGAGAAGTTACTCCATAGAGAAGAGAGAGACTGCAGTAAGAATATTCAGATGATCAATCTTCAAGTCCGGGCTTGTTCCTCGAGCTTCCAAGGCGAAGAAATCCTCCAATTCCACTCCAAGAATGCCCTCAAATTGCCCTCTCTCTCTTTGGTTCGTCCCTTGGGTGTTTAGGATCCAAAACCCAGCTCTCTCTTGCAAAACACACAAAACAGGCTTTTAACAGCCTGCGTTCGCGATCCCCGGTCGGATATTTCGGGAACCAGTCGGGTATCAACAAAATGCTCCGGGTCACTCTTCTGGGCAAAAGGGAAAATACCCGGTCGGGTATTTTTAGTACCTGGTCGGGTATTTTTAGTACCCGGTTGGGTATTTTTGGTTCACGACAGGGGGCCTTCTGATGCTGCCAAAAATACCCTATCAGATGGTCAAAATAACCAGTACGGTATTATGGTCGGGTATTTTGCAGTTCCGGGTCCCCTATCTTTGATTCTTCGTTTCTCCCTCGTTCGAACTCCAAATCAGGTGCCGTTTGATCCCAGACGTTCGTAGTCTCGTCCTCTTTCTTCTCATGACAAGATTACATGATTATATGGTCACAAACGGAGGTAGAAATCCATTCTTCTTTAAGTCATACCCGAGTTTCTTCCCCCGAGTCGCCAATTGAAATGTGACAAAGGAACACAACCTAGCGTAAAATAAGCCAAAGAAGTGATAATGCAAGCTTAAACGATCAAGAAACAAAGGGGAAAACATGTGCAAATATCGAGTCATCAAATCCCTCCACACTTAACCGTTTGCTTGTCCCCAAGCAAACCTAACTCAAACCAATGCAGCTTTCCAGACCTCTATAGCAACATGCACCCTCGATCGTTGATAGAGGATTTTCTAGATCATTTAGCAGCTTACGAGGTCAACCGACGCACAAGTCATCTCATAGCTTCTTCGGTGAGAACGTTAGTCTCGAGTCGGCATTATGGCAAATAGTGATCTGAGGACAAATGAATCGTGGATGAATGGACTCTCAAAAACAAAAGATCATGGAATCGCATTTTTAAGGTGCTCTATTTTCTTCTTGAAGATGGTTGGAACCCCTTTTCTTTCTTTGTTTTCCCTTGTTTTTCTGTTTTTCTGTTTTTTCTTTTCTTTTCAAGGGTTCCAACCTGTTTTTCAGAAAATGGGGGCTCCCACCTAGCAGAGGTTTTGCGGGAGCCCGGCTCTTACCGGCCATGCCAGGAACGGATGTCTCGAGCCTCGTGCGGGGGAAAGATATGTAAGGGGGCTGGAGGTAGTAGGTGGAAATTGGGAACGGATTCCCATCTCCCCTTACACACTTTCGCCCTATTCGCACGGGAGACATTATTTTAAAGCACATTTTCGAGCACATTTTATTCCAAAACATGATACAGGAGTCCATGACGGGTAGAGATTCCACAACACCACACAATTCAAGGGTCATAAGATCACTAATTCACACAATCAACCAACACAATATGAAGAAGAAATGAGACTTCTTAAATGCATCAACATCCTCCATAGTGCTACACTACCTCCCTAGGTTGCACATTACTATAGAGACTGTTAATTCAAAGCATACTGAGCAGGCAATTGCAAGGAACGCGTACTTGGAGCCCTCAAATCGAGATTTGGACAGTGGACTAGGCTCCAAGCACACACATACAGCCAAACATCCACACGCATACATAATCGAACATCCCCCCACACTTAACCGTTTGCTTGTCCCCAAGCAAACCAAGTCAGACACAAGGTAAGCTCACATATTTCAATCAACCAATATTGGGGACAAATCATATAGGCACAGAACACGTGAATCGTACTGGTTTTCAAACATCAATACCTGACCAACTTCAATAGCAACCTGGACAACCACCACAAAGGACATTCAAGTGCAGCAAAATCGAGTAAAGGAATAGTCTCCCTTCTGTTCACCAACCAACCTAGACTTGACTCAACCACTGACTCAAAACAGTCAACTCATGCATCCAACTCAAGACATCAGAATAGAGACCGAGCAATCTAGGTCCTCACTGGGGTACAAAAGTATATAGAATATGAAAATGAATCACTCACTCTCGACCAATGGGGTTAGGAAAATTTGATGCGAAAAATGCGCATGTTATTTCTCTCAATCCCTAACATCTCTTCACCATGATGGCAGCCTCTAAATGCTAGTGTTCACATATGGGGTGTCACCACTAACTAATCAGGAGGTCTTAGACACAGGTTCAAATGACTGGCTAGGGTCTTGGACATGGGGAAAAGGCCTTTTAGGTGGTGGAAGTATTCATAGCACAAGGTTCCACATTTCCAAACCCACACAATCACAGTCAAACAAACCGGTATTTCCTTTCTGCTATTCTGCATTACTCAATATCTCAAGAGCACAAGAGCGAAGGAGGTATAAATGTCAGCATTTCCAAGCCAGACTGCTAAGAAACACTACTTACTAGGCATTATTCAGATTTTTGGTAGTGGCTCTCTTTGCTTTCAATTTTCTTTGTTTTTTCTCTTTCATTTTCTTTTCATTTCTTAAGAGAGCCACCACTTCTGTACATATTTCAAACACATGCCCAGCCCAACTTTTAAGCGCTACCTCCAACACTCACATCAAATTTAGCAGAAACAGCAGAGAATATGTAAAAAAAACCACTCTGTGGAACCTTCTAAAAGATGCAAAGGGTGATTTTTTTTCATTTCAGACCAAAAGAAAGGATAACACACGGCTCAAAAGGGCTGACTAGGGGATATGACACATCAGGACAGTCAAATTTGGTCGTGGGCTAATCCTATGCCCCCATCATCTTAGCTAGTGACAACGTGAATGCTACACATCATGGAAGAGGGATCTATCGCACAAGAAAGAAACGAGCAGGCTCAAATCTCACATGGCTACCTATATGCTCTATCTCACATTCTGATACCCTGAACTAGATGCATAAACGACTGTCAAGAACAAGTAATCAATCCAAGTCACAGTTGGTAAGCAAACAGTTGAAAAACTGAACCCCTACACAATTCTACTGCACGTCTCAGTCCTCATCATAGGTTGTCCCAGTCACAATCAAGCTGTCATGCATCAATCCGAAAACCATTCAATTCACCAATCAAAACACAGTGCCAATATGATCAAACAGCAGTACTTGGAGCCCTCAAATCATAAGATTCGGATAGCGGACTAGGCTCCAAGCACCCAAATATATATGCCAACCGATACAAAGCACCCCCCCACACTTAAACACGACATTGCCCTCAATGGAGTAGAGGGAGAGATAAGGGGAACGATGTTACCGGATTGGAACTGCTGGGGGACTGGAAGTGGACCAGTCAGCGAGAAACAAACGGGAAGATGGACAGTTCTGCACGAATCGAACACCAAGAACACACTAGCACACGTTGTGTTAGGGATAAGTGTTAGCCCAGACGGCTACATCAAAACAATCCACAAAAGAAAAAAAAAACAAAAACAAAAGACACTAAGTTCAAGCTCCTCAACACATGGAGCAAACAGAAAAAAGTCTCAAACAAAAATAAAAACACGCACTGAGGGGGCGACAAGTACAGCCTACTCATCGCCGAGGTTGTCCAGATCGATGTCGCCGTGTCGGCCGAGTTTACAGCCCGTGGCTAGGCCACACTGTCGGATTCACACAGCCGTGCGAGGTGCACTTTTGCCCGTGTCGGCCGACACGGGCTGGCCGAGGAATTCCACACGGCCGTGCGAGTTGCACTTTTGGCCGTGTGGCTTTTTACGATAGCTCACACGGCCAGGGGAGATTTTGCACACGGCCGTGTCACCAGCACAACTGGCCGTGCGGAATTTGTCGAGAGCTTACACGGCCAAACCTATTTTCTACACGGCCGTGTGGGCTGCCAGAACTTCGAATGTGACCTGTTTTCACTCCAGAACGACATACAACTCGTGAACAACCCCTCAAGACTAAAAAAAAACACAAAAATCAAAAGGAAAAAGGTAAGAGAATGAAAACCTAGGTGGGGTTGCCTCCCCACAAGCGCTTCTTTACCGTCTTTTAGCTGGACGCCAGTCGGTGGATGCTCAGTGAGGTGAAGGAGCAGGTGCCTTCAAGAGCGGATCCACCTCGCTCTTGAGGTACAGCTTCAAATGGTGGCCATGCACACGCCGAATGTGGCCACCAGCATTTGCCAACTCAACTTGCCATCCGACAGGATGCAAGCGAGTGAATACTCGGATGGCCAAGGTGGGGGCGGGACCAGCTCATGGTGGTCTCCGGCTTTCTTTCAAGCAGGCTTAGCTGCCTGCTGTTTCGGTTGCCACTCCTCCTTGATCTGTTCCTTCAATGACAGAGTGGACGGGAGTGGCGGCGAAGGTATGGGAGGCGGATCCTGCAAAATAGGAAACGCAGAAGGATACACGACAGACTCGTGCTCCCGGTGAGACACAGCATGCAAAGGCGAAGAAGCAGGAGGAGTATTAGAAATTGAAAACGTTATTGGCTCCTCACCATCCCTCAAAACTAAGGTCCCATCATGCACATCTATGAGGGCCTAGGCGGTGGCCAGGAAAGGCCTTCCCAATATCAATGGCACATCCACATCCTCATTTATGTCCAAAATCACAAAATCAACAGGATAATTGAATTTGCCAACCTTAACCAGAAGGTCTTCCACTATGCCCCTAGGTTGCACTACAGATCGGTCAGCTAATTGAAGGCTCATCCTAGTAGCACGGGGTTCACCTAGGCCTAGTTTCTTAAACAATTTATACGGCATAACATTGATACTAGCACCTAAATCCGCCAAGGACCTCTCTACATGCAAATTATCTATAGAGCATGGGATAGTAAAACTACCTGGGTCCTTCTGCTTCTGCGGAAGCTTGTTCTGCAGAATGGCCTAGCACTCCTCGCTGAGCTCCACAGTGGCCAGCTCGCTCAGCTTCTGCTTCTTTGAGAGAAGATCCTTCAGGAACTTCGCATACTTAGGCATTTGAGAAAGTGCCTCCAGGAAAGGTACTTGGACATTCAGCTTCCTAAGCATGGCCATGAAGTTCCCAAACTCTGCCTCCAGCCTGTCTTTGTGCAATCGAGTAGGGAAGGGGAGTTGAGGGATATACTCCTTCACTACTGGTTGCGGTTTAGGTGCAGGCACCTCAACCTCCTCCTCTGCTTCTTCAGCTGCTGGAGATGCCGGGGCAGGGGCCTCTCTCTCTTGTGCCCGAGCAGGTGGATCAACAGTCATCTTGCCACTCCTGGTTATGATGGCATTGCAGTGCTCATTCGGGTTCTGAGGGTGAGGGATGGTCTGACCGGGCAAAGTACCAGGAGCCCTTTGTGCCACTGCTTGAGCCACACTCCCCAGCTGGGTTTGGATATCCTGCAAGACAGCCTGTGTGTTCCTCTGGCCAGCTTCAAGAGCCAGGAATTTACCCGATGCCTTTTCCATGAACTGCTCGATAGTGTTAAATTTTTGAGCACTAGAACTGGCGAGAGAACCCACCAATTCCCGTAGTTCAGCCATCTGATCATTCTGCACTGGGGTGGCAGGGGGCTGCACCTGGCTGCTGGAAAGGTCGCGGCTGTGATTGAGCAGCCTGCCCCTGCATGGGCTGGTAGAGAGACTGCTGCTGCTGCTGGAATTGCCCCTGTCTGGGCTGATATGGCGGCCTCTGGAAGCCCGGTGGTCCCTGGGGGACTGGTGGTCTGGAATTTGCCCCACCCCAGGAGAAGTTGGGATGCTGGCGCCACCCCTCGTTGTAAGTGTTGCTGTAGGGGTCATTGCGCCTAACATTATTGATGAAGTTCACCTGCTCCTGGGGTGTGGTTGATTCCTTCATCGCCTGGCAATCTTCCACCGTGTGATGGGTGCTCTCGCACCAATGGCAGAGCATCGCCTGCTGCTGTCCGGTCCCTGGAATCATCCCGGAACGATCGATAGCTGAAACCAACTTCGATACCACCTGCACCAAATCAGAGGAATGGTTTCCCACAGAATGTACACCTCGGCTTGGTGCTCTCCTCGACCTCCTAGCAGTGCCCCAATCATACCCGTTCTCTGCCATCTCCTCAAAGAGTTGATTCAGCTGTGGCGGTGTTTTGGTCAGCATGTTCCCGCCACAAACTGAGTCAATCAGCTGCTTGTCTTCTAGGAAGAGGGCATGATAGAAGGTTCCCACCTTGAAAGCATCGTTGAAACCATGATTGGGACACCTCAGGAAGAGACTGTTGTATCTCTCCCAAGCATCCCGGATGGTCTCATCTTCATCCTGGGTGAAGTGGGTGATCTGCTTCTGCAAGTCCGCCGTCTTCGACGGAGGATTGTAGCGGGTGAGGAACTTGTCCGCCAGGTTGGCGAACGTGGTGATGGAGCCTGGAGGTCGAGTGTCTAGCCACTCCTTGGCCTGCCCCTCCAGGGTGAATGGGAAATACCTCAGCTGGATGGCATCTGCTGGGACCCCGTTGATCTTGATTCCATCGATGAGCTCGTGGAATCGCCGGAGATGTGATCGGGGGCACTCCCCCTCCTTACCACGGAACACCACTGAACCGCGCAGCATGGTGATTAATGAGGTGCTCACCTCGAAATTATTGGCTGGGACATGAGGGTGTTGAATGGGTGACCTCATGTCTGCAGCCCTGGCGGTCCAGTAATGACCCATGGCCTGCTCCCCAGGATTGACCACATCATGGTCCTGTGGATCGGCCATCTCCTCTTCTTCAGTGATATGTAGCTGTGCTAGCGCCTCCTCCGCAGCCAGTCGCGCCTTTAGAGCCCGCTTGAAGTTCCTGCAGGTCCGTTCAAGCTCTTGGTCTAACGGTAGTAGATCTCCCGACTGGCTACGGGTCATGCACTACCTGCACACAATCAGCAGAAGCAACCCGTGAAGGCACATAGGTGGAAGAGATAAAATGCAATAAAGAAAAATCTAGAGTAACAAATTCTCACGTTTCCCCAATAACCTAGAGGGGTCCCCGGCAACGGCGCCAAAAACTTGATGCTCTAAAACAAAACACCAATCTGCGACCAAGTGTAATCGCAGACCGGGAATGCAGTAAAGTGACAAGTGATATTATCAACCCGGGGTCTAGATCTACTGCTTACTCAGTGATTATCTATTATCTAGCCAACCAAAGTAAGTGATTGTTGTTTAAAAGCAAAAGCAGAAAGAAAGCAGGAATTGGTACGGTTTTCTCAAGCAGGTAAGAGTCACTCGGGAATGAGTCCCCCTAGCTCCTTAGTTAGGTTTCAATTGTATTTCCCTGGGTTGATTTACTGTTGATTAGACTGCGGAAGATCCGACAGTAGCTTGGAATCTCTTAAACTGACCAAGCCCTCTCAGTCTGACTACCCGGCAGACGACTAGTCTTCACCGGGATAGAAAGCTGAAGCAATAAGAACAGAACTCCACTACTGGAATTGGATTCCAGTACAAAGCAGTAAACTGGCTAACTCTCGTATAGCCAATCTCCTACTACCGAATGATGAGACTCTAGCAACCTAATCAGATTCTATCTATCTCAGATTGCAGCAGGAATCAGGAAAAGTTGATCAGACTTCAATTGACTCAATACACATGCATCATTCGATTAAAATCAAACAGTAATATCATCCCAAGTCATTACAATCAATCCCTAACACATAGAACTAGGGTTCTTCATCCCCAAGTGAGAGAGGGGTTCTACTCCATAGAGAGAGAGAGAGAGGAAAACAAGGTACAAAGCAGTCATACTCATTACAATGGGAAGAATCTGCTCTGGGATGATGATTTCCACTCCTATGACGATCTCCAAGCTTGATTTGATGAAACCCAGCTCCAAGATAGCTTCTAGGATGTGTTCTTCGTACTTTCTCTCTCTAGGGCTCTATTTTTGCTCTCGAAATCCGATCCTCTCTCTTGCAGCCCGAAATTGGGTTAAAACCAGGAATTCCCGACTCACACGGGCTGGGCCACACGGCCGTGTGGCATACCCAGTTGCCCGTGTGACTTCAAAACGCTGCGTTCCGATTAATTGCACTTCAGTCAACCTACACGGCCAGGGTCACATGGCCGTGTGAATCACCATGCCTGGCCGTGTGAAGCCTCGCAGAATTCCACACGGCCAAAGCACTCCTTCACATGGCCGTGTGGATATCAGGGCAAGCCGTGTGAAGGCTCGCACAATCTCACACGGCCAAAGTGGTCACTTGCACGGCCGTGTGAGTTGTGGGTGTGCCCGTGCGGCTTCCTTTTCGACTTGCCTTGCGCCCGATCTTCGTCCAATCGACCCCGAACTCGCTCCAAAACCTTCCTTCACTTGCTAGGACCTAAAATATCACAAACAAACACAACCTAGCGTGAAATCGGCCTAAAACACGAGAATTACCATCTCAAACGGCTCCAGAATAGGGGTAAAAAAATGTGCAATTAACGGTTATCAACGAAATTGTCCTCAATGGAGGAGAGATAAGGAGGGTAGAATAAAGTTACCAGATCAAGAGTGAATGATGGTGGACGGGGGCAGGCGGTGCATTCCAGGAGGAGAGAGTAGTCGAAACACAAACACCACACAAAAGCTCACAAAGGTTGAGTTATTGACTCTAAAATCAAAGAACAAAACTGACTCAACCGAGGAGAAATAGAGAAAGAAATGCAAACCGACTGGTTGGGTTGTCTCCCAACAAGCGCTTCTTTCACGTCGTGAGACGGAGGATGGCTCATAAGTTTCGGTCCAACCCAGAACCTCTTTGAAGTTGAGGTTCTAGTTGATGAGGTGGAGTCTCAAGTCACGAACATGTGGTATGACAGGTGATGGAAGCTCGTGCACTTGATGCAGATAAAGTCTCCACCCTCGAGACCTCTTCTTCTCTTCTCTCATCTCATTGCCCCAAACCAGATATGACAACATCGATTGACCACCATCGCGTCCACCAAGTGGGGCCGATGTCGATGTAACCTTGGTCTGGCAAAGAGACACTGCAAATGGATCCTTGCTAAGCAGTTCCTCGAAGTTTGGTGGAGATATCACATGTAACTCATGGTCGGTGCAAGCCTCTTCCACCTCAACTTCGTCCTCGGCCTGGACGCCAATTGCTTCTTCAACCTCCCTTTCTTCTTCATGTGGTATCACCCCTGTTACACTTTCGTCATCCTCCACAACTTATTTTTGCACCCTTTCTTACTCTTCTTCTTCCAACACAGATTGGAGGGCAAGTCGCCAAGCAATTTCTTTGATGAGATCATCTTGCATCTCCTGACTCATGCCCACCTCTTCAAAGCTCAGTGTACGATGTGGGAAGGTGGAGTGGGCTACGACAGGACATTCCTGATCATGATCATCACGGGAGCTCTCCATGACAACTTCTGTCTGCTCCACACTGTCTTCGTAGCCTTCATCTTCCTCCTCCTCTTCTTGTATAGTACCAGAAGGGTGATCTTGTGCAGGTTGTGCATAAGATTTCTCAAGAGCATCGAGGCTCTTCTTAATGCTCAGGAGGATCTACTTTGTTTCATGATAGGCCTGGGTACAAAGTTCCATCCTTGAGCATGATCTCTCACTGTCTCGAGCAAACTGCTCCATGAGAAGCCTTAATTCATAGTACGGATCTGGCTGTGGAGTATAACATGGCTCTACAGAATGGCCCGTGAAGGCCTCCATGGGTAAC